TGTTTAGTAAACTTACAGATGTCACAGGTTGTGTGATTAATCTAACTCTCCCAAAAGTGTTGGAAAATGGTGATTCACAATTCCAGATCATCATGGAAGAAGCAAGGTATTCTCTACGTTAACACCCAGTTGTGTTACTGCTGCCTTGCACACATTAAGCACTAACACTATCTTTTACAAAAATAGTGGAGCGAGGGCAACTGTGCACTACTCGGGCCCGGAGGTTAAAAAGTATCTTACCTATGCCCCGGGTGCAGAATTCTGTCTCCCCCTGATAACGAAGATCACTGCAGTGACTAGGCTCCCTGCTGTGCTCGGAGAAGACGCTCCTTATGAATTCAAATCCTCACCAGCAAGTCGACTGATCACTGCTTCATATAATCACCAACATGCATCTGTCATTAACAGGTACATCTAAATGGCAGTATTGTTTCTATTCCTTTGTTTGCCTGTCACCTTTTACATTGAAAATGTCTGCACTGCAATAATTTCCGACCTGCACTTTAGATTCGTTGCCAACCGTAGGCTAGTTACTTACATTGACAAAGATACTAGACATCATGTTGGATTCTTGTGTGGCCAACGTCCACCGTGAAAAATGCTCGGAGAACTACGACAGGATCTGACACTTCACCGCATCGTCATAAGGTAAATTTTCAAACTTTTTTCCACATAATATGTTCGCACACTATGTAATTGTTTTGGACCAAAAGCCTGAACAATGCTATTTTTGTTAAGGTCCTCTATCGCTGCATGTTGGAGATCACTGCGTTCACCTATGGCCGTGGCATTTGCAAGACAACACCAGAATACCCAGAGTGAGCACATAAAAACTTTTTTCAAACATGAAATTTATCCTCCCATTCACTTTCTACGACAACACATGACCACGATCTTACGCTAGGTTGCATTATGAGTTGCGTGTCGAGTGCGCATCTGGAAGTACGCGCGTCGAGGTGACGTTCAATCATGAGGCCACGCTGTCGCTGGTTCAAATAGCGCCATAAGAGTTTTGCACGAAGCCCCGCCAAGAAGCAAAGGCTCTCATCTGGGCTCGCCGCAACAGGCCATTTGCAGCAGAAGTTTACATCGCAAGTGCAGACGAACATACAGTCCCACACATTCGCGTTGCCATACCATCGCATCCATCGGCTTTCTAAAAATTACCAAGCTATGGCATCCACTCCGTCTTTTGAATCGCCCTATCTGTGCGAAGCTTGCCATTCCATGTTTGCATATTACTTCTCTGGCGATCTGCCTACCACCTACATCTCTATTTAGTGTTTTGAAGTTCTAAATGTCTAGGAACTTAAACTAATATGTTATAGCTTTGAACTTCTTCAGCAGCCCTGACAGTGGTATGCATGTTTCCGTTCTATTGACCAGACTTAATTATTTGCCTCCACTAATGAATCGGGTTTATTAGGTTGGTGTCTGTCTTACCAAATCCTGCTTACCACGATACTTGGGACAAAAACATGATGAGAGCCTTCTTCATATACTCTCACAGTATAGACATTTCTGAGGTCCAATTACCAACAACCCAATAGAGCATATTCCTGCAGCCCATCTTGATATGGGTCATGGAATGGTCGCGGCTTTCTTGGACAAGAACTAACAATTTAAAACACCAACCCTCACCTACCATCACTCCAGTAAAGTTGAATGAGTTGAATCCCATTGCTCAAACACACACGTTTCCTTCATTACAGAGCCAACGGTTTACTTGGACAAGACCTAACAGTTTAACCCATAAGACCTAACCTCTCGACTCATCCCCATCCTTGATGATCTTCAACCCCTTACCCTGCAACTCTCATCGGTCCCGCACCCTTGAATGGGTTGAATCGGATCAATCCAATTGATCAAGCCAACACGTTTCCTTCACTCCATACCCATTCACCCTTTACCCTGCAACATTGAATCATGTCTTGGTTTCTGACTAAAACCTCCGTTGTTGACTGATCCTACAGTTCGTTCATCACACGTCAACTGCCATACGTTTGCCAGTGCAGTACTTCCTCCCAGGACAAACAAAACCCTCATGGCATCCAATTTACATCGCTTCACCACGAGCAATTGGAAGTTTGTTCCTCCCTTCCCCCTTTTGTATTCAGCGGCATTCAACCACGGCCTAATCACCGGAATCACTCTGATCCAAGATGGTGGGTGACTATAATCTCACTTGGGGGCCTGCATGTGATTTTTGTCTATATTTCCAATGTTCTTTATCTCCCCTCTCTACAGAACCAGTGTACACAAATCCTAATGTTTCTTTCCGTAATCCAGACATAGCAGCCGCACATTTGACCATCGAAGGCCTCCACCTTGGACTGAATGAAGAACCAATGATCATGCGCCTTCTTAATTATTTGATGCAGAATTGCTTCGAAGCAGAACCAAATAGGCGGGCAGTACATAGCCAGTGGATTGACAAACGTGTACATGTTCTTCACATCATTCATTCCCAATATTCTCTTACGAAATGCATGCTACATACTGGATCTGATGCATGTTCCAAATTCATAGTTTGTATTGATTGACATTACCTTTGCAGGAAAATCTCATAGAAGGATACACACAAGTTTCCTTGGGCGGGCAAATTCCCAACTTCTTCGGTCGTGGAAAGATTTACAAATTCAGTTCGGTTTTTGCAAGGCGTCCTCGTCGATCTCTACGAACTTGCCCGGCTCCATTTCTGCTTCAGATCAGTGCAGAGGACCAGCTTGAAGAACTTCCTAAGGATCCAACCTTTCCATGGTTCCCCATTGATGGCTTCTACCCTACATCTTTTAGTGATCTCAGAAACCATCTGCACTTAACAACACACTTTAGAGGTAATAAATCATGTGCTTTGAAAGCCTCGTACCTTGCCCACGTAACTCATTTTCCTTCCCTCAATCTACAGATATTTTCGGCCACTTACTAAGTGTTTCTAAAGAGGAGACATGACCATTCCAAATGCCAACCATAACTGCAGTATTGGAGGATTGCAAGTTAGTATTTCGTTTGATCCGCTGAATGGCTCCCCTTTTACTTTTTATCCAATCTTATACACATAAAATTGTTGACATCCTTTCTTTTATCCCAGACAGCTATTGTTGCAGTCGAGAGGAGTGGACCAGTCATCCTAGCTTTCACAAGCATGTTGGTCACTAAAATAGAAGGTAATGTTTTATAAACAGTTTATGATGATTATTGTTTGTGTGCAATTGACCTGAACAATTCACAAGTTATTTTGCCTAAAACAGATTCAGGGACTCTTTGCTTGCTCAACACAGCCGCAACACGCATAATCCAGGGTTGCTGGTCTCATTGGTTCAGGGAACTTAGAAATGCGTAAGAATACTACCCTTCACATGATCAATCCTCTGAATACTGTAATAATACTGTGGAGGTCGACAATAGTAAAAGTATGCATGTCTTATCGCTTTGTTTGTGCACCCATATACTCAGATTCTCCCATGTTCACCAACCTGTGATAATAGGACACTCACCCAAATATGAGCCTGCATATGTTAAGCACATGCTGCCACCAAAAGCAACCCTGTTTAAATTAATGGCTTCTAAGGCGCCATCAGCATCCCAACAAAATGTGAGAAAATGACTTCGTTCATTTACAATACTTGGTTTTTAGTTTACACTTCTAATTCCCATTCATGATTGTTATTTTTAGCATTCCTCTGTCTGGTGCCTCATTAAGATAAAGAAGATTCCAACTTATACAAATCATTGTCACTCTGATCCTGAGACTAACCCCTTCCCAAGGTACATGTTATCTAACACGACATTAGGATCCTCTATACAAGGCCAACGACATTTACAGTAATTTTTTCCAGGTTTCAAATGAACGTGGAATGTGAGGACGTCTCGACGACTTCGTGCATACTCTTCTTCGACAATGATGTGGCCAACTCGCCGTTAAGGAAATCTGCCCAGGAATACCTGTCCCTCAATGAAGACAGTGAACTCTGTAGTGGGACAGCTCTTTGCTGCTGAAATTGAAATCGGACGGGAACAGATTCTGGGATTTTGGTGTTTAAGGTGATCACACTATGGGATCCACTGGTTTTCGGCATTGAAGCGCGCTCCCACTTCGCCTGACTTCTAGGATGTCAAACCTAATCGGTCTATCACTATGTGTGCTTGCTGGTTTCTGAAGTATAGTTTACCTACCTAATTTCTGTAATGTCCGTCCACTAATTTCCAGACAGTATTTCCGTAGGACAATTATATTGTAATGGTTAGTGGTATTTTGCTACGATTGCAGTTAGGACTACCTACTTGCATTCAGATGCGCGTTTTTAGTGATGAGGATTATTTATGTGCCAATACACTTGCACTTGACCATAGCTTTCAAATGCATATGTTCATAATTGTCTTAGCATCAGGTTTACACACAAACATAATCATTTTGCTCTCCACAATACATGCCGCTCATACTCTTCATGGCATCTTCATTACCACAACTTTGTTCCCTGTGGCATAGTCACGGGTACTGATTCTAGTATCAATGACAATTGAGATGTCATTTCCTTGTTTGTATTATTAGGGTATTCACTACAGCCAGGCCAGTGGTGACTAACCATTTGCCATGGGTGAGTATGATGTATCACCGTAAACAAATCAATGAGTTCTTTGCTCATGGACATTGAACGAGTTCTCAACCTCATAATTAAACGAGAAAACGATCAACTGCCATGCCATATCCTTGTGATTCGATGCCATCTTCCTATGCATTGTAAACAATAACAAATTCCAAATTCTATTACGAAGCATATTTCCCACATTCACAACAAAACATGTCCAAACTGTGTAATCCAGTAAACCCAAAAAATTCCAAATGAAAACAAAACCCAGTAACCTAAAAAAGTCAACCAAACATGTTGCTCTCTAATTTAAAGAAATCCTCTCTGGCTCTCCCTCTCCCTGTACACACTACAAAAACATAAATAATAATTCAAGTATGCTCTTCTACTATATATCATCTGAAATTTTTTTCATTGAGGGTTCCATTCCCTTTCTCTGATGAAGAAATGATCCCAAGGATGTGGCCCAATCGTCCCAAACATCGTCTTCTTCCAGTTGCTCTCCTCTTCCGCCTCAGACACTGTCAGGTTCTTCCCCTGTATCATCTCCTTTCTAATCCCATCAATTCTCTCCAAAACCCCATCCACAGTTATATCAAATGCATCCTCCAATGTCTCCAAGCTCGACCTCGGATCGGCATAAACAATCCCCGGTATCAACCGAACCACCTGCTCCCTCATCGCCACTACCCTACGCCTGGAGATCCTCGACAGGATCCTCGTTATGTTGGCCTTCCCTTCTTTCACCTCGTCCCCCGGTATGAACACCGAATACTTGGTGAAATCCTTGGGGAAATGCCACAGGTACTGAACGTAAGCTGAACCCGGATGGAAAAACACCGGAATGCACCCAGCCAGGATCGAATCGAACGTCGATCGCCGCGTGTACGAATCCCCCGGCGGCTGGAGGCAGAAGATCGAACTCTGAAACATCTTCAGCAAGTTACTCGGATCGTCGCATTTCTTGGAGCTCGGGTGGCATCCAAGTAGCTGGCACTTCCTCCTCGCGGATTTGCACTGTTGGATGATCTCGCTGCGAATGGAGTTCTTCAGGTTGGGCCTGGGAGCTCCAGCAAACGAGAAGAGAGTCCGCCGCCTGATCTTCCTCATCCTGTGCTGCCATTCGAACACCTGAGCGTCGCTGGAAGGATGGAAATCCGTGGGGTAAGGGATGGCGAAATCGTTCTCGTTCCAGGGACTCGATTCGATGGTAAGCATCGTCATGTTCTTGGATTCGGGGAGGACCATGAGCTTGTTCCCCCAATGGTCGTCTTTCTCCGTCAATCTCCTGAAATCCCAACTAATCCTCCCTGCGACCATGAAATGGTCCCTCCCCCACATTCTCTTCCACTCGGGTTTCTCCCGAATCCACTGAATCAAAGCCATCGAGTAATGGTCTCTCATCATACGCTTGCTATCCCACAAGTACCGAACCACATCGAGCCCTCCGTAATACGGGACGAAAACCGCCGCCGCCTTGGAGGAGTCGTTGGTCAGGCACTTGTATTGCTTCATCCGATTGTGGAAAAGCACTTCCACGACGAATTGGTTGGTCTCGTACCATCCTTCATTGGAGACAACCTTATCGGAGCTCTGTAGTTGCGGGCCAAGACCCATGTTTGATATGAACGGGCACATGTCCATCCACTTGCTCAGAGACCGGCAATGCTTTAGGATATCAGAATTGAAATGGGTAGGGAGATCATGGACGTAGATGTACTTTCCAGAGCATGAATCCCCTGGATCTAAAGGGATTTCCAGCTCTGGGTGTTTCTCTACCACAACCTGTTCAATTTTGGGATTCGGGTGGACCGACTCTGTTTTTGGGAGGACAACCTGTTGGAGATACTTATCCCACTCTCCACCGATGAAGAAATTGTCAATGGTGGCATTGGCGGGATACAGTTTGGGGATTTCCCCTCGATGCTCTGTTTCTTCCATCCCGCTCGTATTCGGGATTTCCGCCGCGAATTTTTCATCGCTGTTTATTGGTTTGGAAATGACGACGTCGCCGTCGTGGCCGGAGAAGTAAATGGCGAGGAGGAAAATCCATACGACGAAGGAGACCAAGATGAAGTACCAGAATCTTATACGAGTACCTACCATAGAAAGCTCCATCAACAAGAACACCGCCGAGATTAGGTCATTCAGGCCGGCGTTGGGAATGTCAGAATCGTTTCAGGCCAGCGAGCGAGCAGGGACACGAGGGGAAACTGTGGGATGGAGAAGGGGAGATGTTGAAGAATTCAAAGGGTTGTTCTTTTGTTTGTTTGTTTTTTTTTTAATTATTTTTTTGATTTCCTTCCTAGATGTACGTTGAATCGCAAACCTCGTGATTTCATAGTTTTTTTTAGATTATTGCTCATGATTTGGCAGTTGCAAAATATAAATATTCATTTTTTTCCCAAGACAAGCGAAAGGAGATCCTAACTTGTAGTTTTTGTGCATGCTCTCCCCTCCCTTAATTTTCTCCTATATTTCATTTAACTGTTTTGATTTTTTTGTTTGTGATAAAATATTTTTTTGCGTGGTAAATAGTTGGTTATATGTTTTAATCGATTACGATGGTTAGTGGTTATCAATAACCGATAATTTTTTAGTATTTTGGTTAGTTGTATTTTATTTAATGTTTAGCCAATAACCGCCTATTAGTATAATAACCACATAGTTTTGGACTTTAGCTAAAGAAAAAAGTTCAAAGATTCCAAACCTGCCAAACCCGCCCAAACATCTCAATTCACACTTATTGCAATTATGTTTAATAGTCATGACTAGAAAGTCACCCCATTTAGAATCCTCTTTGCAGTCGATATAGCGAAACTCACACCCTAGTAGTCTTTGTATCTTTGATGTTTGTGAATGATGATGATCTTGTAAGAGTTTAATGTCTTGCTAGTCGGTACTTGTTAAGTGGGTGAAGACATTTGATTATCTGTAATTTTATGTATTAGAATTAGGGATGACAACAAAACCCGAACCCACAGATATCTTACTCGACTCAACCTGGTCAACGTGGGTAAAACCCATGTTGACAGGTTTGGGCCCGGGTTTGGGTTTAAACCCATTAACCTTTTACCGGGTTGGGTTGAGTTTGGGTTTAGAGATACCCGACCCATGGATACCCGTCCACACTTATTATGTTGCCTACTCTCTACAAACCCTACCCTAATTCTAATTTCTCCAAATCTAATTTATAATTTGTATGGATAATTGGTGATTTGTTTGAATTTTCTACACTGGTGTTTTATATATGGAGAAATTGATGTTCGACTTTTATTTTGTCAAGAACTTGTTATTATAATTTTTTTATCACAAAAACCAATGGGTATCCATGAACCCGTGGATACCCAGCGAGTTGGGTTGGGTTTGAGTTTTTCAAACGCACTGAATTTTACCCCAAGATTTTTTGACAAATAAACTCATGGGTTTGGCCAAACACGATCCAATCCAACTCATTGCTATTCCTAGTTGAAATTTGTATTTGGATTATGAATTCAAGTGTTGTTCTTTTGTTTGTTTGTTTGTTTTTTATTATTATTTTTTTATTTCGTTCCTAGATGTACGTTGAATTGCAAACCTCGTGATTTCATAGTTTTTTTTTAGATTATTGCTCATGATTTGGCAGATGCAACTTGCAAAATATAAATATTCATTTTTTCCCAAGACAAGCGAAAGGAGATCCTAACTTCTGGTTTTGTCCATGCTCCCCTCCGTTAATTTTCTCCTATATTTCATTTAACTGTTTTGATTTTTTTTAGATAAAATATTTATTTTGCGTGGTAAATAGTTGGTTATATGTAATTATCAATAACCTATGATTTCTTAGTATTTTGGTTAGTTGTATTTTATTTAATGTTTAGCCAATAACCAATAGTTTTGGGCTTTAGCTAAAGAAAAAAGTCCAAAGATTCCAAACCAGCCAAAGATGCCCACACTTATTATGTTGCCTACTCTCTACAAACCCTACACTAATTCTAATTTCCCCCAATATAATTAACAATTTGTATGGATAATTTGTGATTTGTTTGAATTTTCTAGATTGGTGTTTTATGTATGTATAATTTCTATGGAGAAATTGATGTTTGAATCTTATTTTGATTGGAACTTGTTATTGTAATTTCTTTACCACAAAAACCAATAGGTACCCATTAACACGCGGATACCTAGTGGATTGGGTTGGGTTTGAGTTTTCCAAACGCATTGGGTTTTACCCCAGGTTTTTTTTACAAATAAACCCATGGGTTTGGCAAAACCCGATCCAACCCGACTCATTGCCATCTCTAATTGGAATTTGTATTTGGATTATGAATTTACGGTAGATATGCATTGTATTGATGTTATTTCTTATAATTATTATTTTTATTAACAATGTTGAAGTGTGGTTAAATTGTTTTGAATTATTTATATGATTATATTTTATTTTTACAAAGGTCAACATACATAAAATAACACAAGGAAAAATGCCTTTTATTGGTTGGTGGTTAACCGTTAGTTATCGAATTTTCTGCTATGTGGATAGCATATATGTTATCATAATAAACTTTTATAAGCAAGGGAACATGCACGAGAATGGATCATGTCAGTAACTTTATGGTCAGTAACATGAGTAACCCGTCCACATCAGCATGACATCACTATCCATCTCTCTCCTAGAATGTCTTTTATCTTTTCCCCTTTAATCTTTAACGGACGATTTCTCTCTCGTTTTAAGTTGAAATTTAATTTTTTTGCACAGATAAATGAGATTAAATGTGCTCTTTAAAATGATATCCACTTTGATATATTTTTAGTACAAAAAAATTGAATAATTTTTTACCAGCCATTACCATATGGTATGCTCATATTTAATACCATAGGGTAAGAAAGCGTACCATGATGGTATGAACATACCAATATGGTAAGAATGTTGAATACATAATAGTAGGAGTATACTAACTATCATTTACGACTTTCATCATTGTTTACCACAAGTTACCACCCACATACCATAATGGTAAAGTATGGTAATTTTTGGTACAGTATTTTTTTCACCCAGAAATTTGTAGATCCAATAGATCATGATGAACTCGTTCCTTCTGAGAAAACGTTTTCAAAAACGACTTAAAAATGAAGAAGTTACCATATGGTATGTAGTTGTTAAAAAAAAATCTTGAAATATATTGAAAATTGATCTCATTTTGTAGAGCACAACGAACTCGTTCCATGTGTGCAAAAAAATTGAAATCCGAGTTAGAACGAAGAAGATAAGAGCCGATTATGAAAACTAGGAAAAAATGCCTTTAATTGACAATCCTTAGATCTGGATTTTTTGGGTCCACTTAAATCTAAAGGTCCAGATTTAGTTACTCTTAGATCAGTAACCAATAGTTACTGACCCTATCCGAAGCCAACATGCACTATTAGTTTTGTCAATAGCCTTTTCAGCCATTCCACTTCACAAACAAAATGTGTCAAAGCCCAATACTCTGCTTTAGATGAGGAAGAACCATATTAAAAACAAGTAGAAAACATGCTTGAATTATAACTCATGGTGAGTTTTGATTGATAGGCACAAGATAAATTCACAATGGCATAACATGATTGCATATATGAAAAACACAAGTGCATCTTCAAGCTATAACGCTCACAAGGAGAATAGGAAATCATCATATGTTCCTTCTGCTTCTTATTAGGAAGTAGGGGTGGCTATACGGTCCGGTCCGGTTAAATTGGCCCAAATTGATCCGGTCCAGTTCGGTTTTTTTGAAAATATAAGGACCGAAGATTGGATTGGATACAGTCCGGTCTTGATCCGGTCCGGTCCCAATTCGGTCTTGATTTTATATTGAGATTGTGGGAATTTGAGTGGCCTAAGGCCTAAAAGGGTGAGGAGTTGGTTAAGTTTTGCACTAAGTGCAAAGGTTTGTGACCGTTTATACAAATTACCCTTAAGTTTTGGGTGTTGAGCTCTTTTATCCGGTCTTTATCCGGTTTTTTACCTCAAATCTAAGCCCAAAAATTGGATTGGATTGTTTACTATCCGGTCCCGGTCCGGTCTCGGTCCGGGTTATACGGTCCGGTTTCCGGTTTTTCATCCGGTCCCGGTCCAAATAGCCAGCCCTATTAGGAAGAGTGGTTCTTCATCATCTCCAGGTCGAGTTTTTGAACCTTAAGCATCATGTTTTATTTTATAGAAAGTGTGCTTTATGATTATGTTCCTTCTATATATCAATTTTAGTGTAATGGATATGAAATTACGAATGGTAGCTTCAGTAATGCCTTAAGCATTAATCTAAGTGGAATTTTGTGGCTTAATTTATCATATTTGTGGCTAAGTAGTTACCGACTAAAGGGTTTCATCCACATAAGATCTTAAAATATAGGGCTAATACCACTGGAAAACCCGAACTATTAACTTTGTGTCATTTGTGTCCTAAAGTATTCGATATGACATTTGTGTCCTAACCTATTATAATTGTGTGTCATTTATGTCCTAACGATTTCGTTGACCGTTATAGATAACAGTTGACCAAACGGACGTCACAGATTTGCTGACGTGGCAAAAAAAGTAGCTGCCATGTAGATGCCACATCATTAAATATTATTTTTTGATCAAAATTTTAAATATTTAAAAATAACAAAATAAAAGAAACCGACCTAGTTGCCTCCCTCCGCCTCTGTTCTTCAATCCTCAACCAACCTCGCCACCGGAGAAGACGATTCATCTCCGATTCTCTTCGTTGATCCCTCTCGCCTCTATTCTTCGACTGGCCTAGCGCCGCAACCTGCCACACAGATCTCTCTCTCTTACTGGATTTGGCTGTGTCGGATGGAATTGACGAGAGAAGAGGGAGAAGGGGTTCCAGTCTGTGGTGGCCTGTGGCGATGAAGCCAACTTCGAACAAGGTTGGAGGAAGAAGAAGTTCGATTTCTGGTTTGAAGGTTTGGATTTCTGGGGATTT